TTTTTTTTTAGTTAATCTTGTATCCTGCCACTTTGCTGAAGGTGTTTATCAGCTGCAGGAGTTCCCTGGTAGTGTTTTTTGGTTCACATATGTAGTCGATCATATCATCTGCAAATAGTGAAAGTTTGACTTCTTCCTTTCCAATTTGTATTCCCTTGATCCTCTTTTGTTGTCTTACTACCCTAGATAGAACTTCAAGGACAATATTGAAGAGATATGGAGAGAGTGGACAGCCTTGTCTTGTTCCTGATTTTAGAGGAATAGCTTTGAGTTTCTCTCTATTTAGTTTGATGTTGGCTGTCAGCTTGCTGTGTATTGCTTTTATTATGTTCAGGTATGTTCCTGTTATTCCTGATCTCATGAAGGGGTGTTGGATTTTGTCAAAGGCTTTTTCAGTGAGATGATCATGTGGGTTTTCTTTTGCAGTTTGTTCATATGTTGGATGACATTGATAAATTTTTGTATGTTGAACCATCCCTGCATCCCTGGGATGAAGCCTTTTATCATGAAAGGATGTTTGGGTATGTTGTGTCCACATTCTCACTGAATTCTAGGAAATCTTTAATTTCTTTGTTTATTTCTTCTTAGACACAGGAATTGTGCAATTGGGAGTTACTTAATTTCCATGAGTTTGTAGGTTTTCTGCAATTTGTATTGTTGTTAAATTCTAACTTTAAAGCATGGTGATCTGATAAGATACAGGGGGGTATTTTAAATGTTTTGTACCTGTTGAGGTTTGCTATGTTACCAAGTATGTGGTCGATTTTAGAGATGGTTGCATGTGGTGCTGAGAAGAAGGTATATTCTTTTGTATTTGGATGGAATGTTCTATAGATGTCTGTTAAACCCAATTGGGCCATAACTTCTGTTAGTTCCTTTGTTTCTTTGTTAAGTTTCTGTCTGGTGTTCCTGTCCAGTGGTGAGAGTGAGGTGTTGAAGTCTCCCACTATAAGTGTGTGCAGTTTTATGTGTGATTTGAGTTTTAGTAATGTTTCTTTTACCAACATGGATGCCTTTGTATTTGGGGCATAAATGTTCAAAATTGAGACTTCATCCTGATGGATTTCTCCTGTGATGAGTAGGAAGTGACTTCCTTCATCTCTTTTGATTGATTTTAATTTAAAGTTCAATTTGTTGGATATTAGGATTGCTATGCCCGCTTGTTTCTTGGGTCCATTTAATTAGAAAATCTTTCCCCAGCCTTTAATTCTTAGGTACCACCTGTCTTTGAAGTTGAGGTGTGTTTCTTGTAGGCAGCAGAAGGATGGATTCTGTCTTCTTATCCATTCTGCTAACCTTTGTCTTTTAATGGGCCTGTTAAGACCATTAATATTGAGGGATACTAACGACCATTGGTTGTTTATTCTTGTTTGTTTTGGCTTTGATGGTGGTGGTAAAAAAAAAAATTGGTTTTTTTTTTTTTTTTTTTTTTTTTTTTTTTAAAAAGGGGTTTCCCTGGGGTTTTGGGGGTGTGCCTGGAACCCCCTCTTTGAAAAAAGGGGGGTTTCCACACCCCCAGAACCCACCC